TGAGCAAAATGAATTTTGTGTTTGTGCACCAGTACTGAATTCATGTGGCTTGTTTGGATGTGCCACCTAAGTTATTAATAAATATTTTTAAACCTCTACGTTTTCCCTCTGCTGCCATGTCTCCTCCCCTTGCTCTATCAGCTCTTCTGGTGCCTGCTGCCTCTCCCCCACTCCTCACCCTCCTCTGCTGTCCTGACTCCTGCTCTTCTCATTGTCCTCAGCCCTCCTGCAACCTGCCCCCGTCCGGGCGTCTCCCCACACACAGGTTTGAGCACACTGCGCAGGGCAGCAGCAGCCAGCAAGGGGGAGCTCAGAGAAGGTTGCGCACGGTGAGGATGGGACCGGGATAGGGACGGGGGAGAGACGCTCTGGGGCCGGGGTCAGGACCTGCTCCAGTTCCAAATATTGCTGGAGCATGGGCACCATGAGCCCACACAACTCGCCGCCCATGCCTCTGCTAACTAGGTGGCGCGCGCTCTCTTTTTCAGAGGGGGCGGGGGAGTGCCGGCTCCTTGCGGAACCCCTAGTTTTTCTCTGCGGAACCCTGGGGTTCCACGGAGCACCAATTGGGAAACACTGCTCTAATCAGTCTTGCATGCCACCCTCTGTATGTGAAAAGTACTGGTGAAAAATGTAATTCAAAATATATTTGTGGACAAAAAAGGCCTTTTTCTCCACAACAAGCTTATGTAGAAAATGCCTATTTTTCAACAACATAGGCCAGCTTTATTTGTAGAAATAGCAAATTTTGGGTATTTCCAAAAATCTGAAATGTTCTATATTATTCTGGTTTTGGTTGCCTGAACCCCTTCTCATCTTCCAATGGTAGGTGGCTTGCCTTAGACTGTGAATTCATTGTGCCTCTTCTGCATTTTTGGGCTCAGCCTGCAGCACTGGTTCTGAGACCCATTCCTTTCTTGGGGTTTCAGAGCCTGGGCTCCAGATCAAACGGGAACATCCACATAGCTCTTTTCAGCCCTGAAGTATGAGCTCCACAAGTCCAAATCAGGTGACTCGGGATCTAAGACACAGTCTCAAGTCTTAATGTGTCCATACTGAAAATTCTCTCTGACTCAATGGATGTTTTATTGGTTGACTGGGCAGCACTTACCATGCTGTGGGTGCTATAGTAATGCTCCTTCTATTATTGGCATTGTTAATGGTATGTTGCTATCTAATTAAATACACCTAAAGAGAAATATGTTTATGGTAAATGTAATGTAATTGGTCGTGCTTTAAATGAATTTAGAAAACAAATGAGATTGGTAAAAGACCTCTGAAATCCAGAAGTCAAAATGTTGTTGGTACAATTATTGATGTTTTTGCACAAGCATGCATTCTATGTACAAAAGCGTTAATAGGTAAAAGACCAGCAACTTCATACTCACCCCCCCCTTCCATGGCCTTATTGTGGATCTTTGCCAAAAGCCACTTATCAACTCATGGCATCTGATTTACACTAGTGAAGTTCTGATTTTGGTGAGCTCCAGGGGACTAGAGACCTGCTATTCATAGTGGTTTAATTTACTAGTGTAAACTAGGCTTGTGTTTGTGAGTGGGTAGGATGGACAATAAACTTTGTGAATTACATCCCTTAGTCTCCATCAAGCAACTAAAAGTATAAGTTTTCCACATGCTTCCAAGGATGTGAACTTTTGGAAGGACTTTGCTTGGAGTCATGTGCTTTGCAATCTTTGTAACAATTACTGACAAATCCACTTTGCTAAGTGGTGTTTCATTAGTTAAAAATCATGGACAGCGTGGTGCTTAATATACATTGCAAAGGTCTAGGGCAGTTTACCACCTGCAGACCTCTGCAGGAGGTAGAAGACAACTAATTTTCAACCCCCACAAACTTAATCCAGTACAAACTTAAATACAAGTAATATTTGATCATTTGAGTAGCACTCTTTCAGAGTTTTATAGGAGAATGTGCACCTTTGTTTTGAATTAATTGGGATCAACAAGACTTAGGAAAATTTGCACCTTCTATTAATTCTTTTCCCCATTACTGTTTTCCTAGGGCCAGGGCTTTGACTGCTCCATTGGCAATTGACTTGAATAAAAACACATTTTTATGTGGTGAGTATCTGGCACTTGTTGCTTTTAGACACTAAAGAGAAGACTGGTTTATAAGGAGACTTAGGTCTCAACCCTGCAGAAACTTATGCATGTTCATGACTTTGATGTCAAAGGGAGTGGTTTACCTGCACAAAGTTATGCCTATGCTTAATTCTTTGCAGGACTGGGGCCTTAAGGTTATGCCATATCCTTATGTGATGGTGCGTCTTTAATGAACTATATCTATAAGCCGCCACTTATAGAAAAAATGTGATTACTATTCCCTTTCTTCATGCACAAATGAGCAATTAAGACCACTGACAAGCTATAAATAAAATGATGGGGAAACTGCTGCAGAGTGATACTTTCCTCAAGATGAGGGTCACTACTGAACTATTTGGCTAAATTACCTGTTAATTCCTTAGTAGTAGTTCAAGCTGTGTTCTGTGCAAAACAACCCACATTTTGATGCATTTGTGACACACAATAAATGAATGAATTTCTGATTCATTCATTTATTAAGAAAACTGTAGTGAGACCCTGCTCTTAGAAGAAATCACTGTGTGATGAAGGTTTCAAACACCAAACCAGAAATCCTGCGGGCAGCACAGTACAGAAAATAACAACAGTTCCAAATGTATTTATTGATAAGTAGTAAGATGTACATATATTTTACAAGCTTTTAATATTAATTTACATTTTCTTAAATTATGTAGGCCCCAATAAACTAAACTTGCTAATACATGACAGAGACACTTGGCTTCAATTAAATTTCCAAAATGCTGTTATTGCTGGGAGTCATAATGCAATTTTGGCTCATGTCACTAAAGTTCCTCTTTAGAGATACTAAATACCATATTCATTTAAAGCATATGTTTGGTATAAGGTAGAGCTGGCTCCTGAATGAAAACCCTGGAGCTGGATCCAAGTTCATTGCTAAAACTTAGCCTTCCAGTCAAGGGCCAAATCCATGCGCACACAAATTTGGGATTTGGATTTCAAACCTCCCTCCTATCATGGCAGAAGTGTTTTGGATCCAGGATTTTTATATGGGCACATTTGCTTAGATTGGAACATGCTTTTGCACCTGTTTTTGGTGCATATATTGCTGCTTATACTAATAAAATCCAATTCTGGGAATCAGTCATCACCTATGTCTTTGTACTCAATCAGCATATGTTTCTAAGAGCTTTTTCACTGTATTTTTTTATATTGAGCTGTACTAACTTGCTCCCTATTATTTACGATATTGCTTACTCTGTGATTGAAATTGCACTATATTCATATCTTGCAAGTGCAGTATTAAAAGTGCCTAATGTTCAAGTACTGTACTCATTTTAGGTTGCTACAGTAACTGCAAAGGCACAATAGTCTATATTTTAATTGCACACAGTAAATGCAAACATAACATAGTGTTCATTTTGGGACTAGGGGTTGAAGGGAGGCGATTATTGGATTATATACATTGAATTAAAATGCACTCAAAGTCCAAATGACCAAAGCTTAATTTAGGTCCAACCATATCTATTTGGAACTGTCTGGTCTGACTAAAATATTTGCCTTGGTTAATCATGCCTGTAGTTCTCACGGAGGAAGCTTTATCAAAGTAAGTAAATACTATGAGATTGTAGTTAATGATAACCCCTGTGCTTCTTTTTCCTTAAGAGGAGTATATCTGTGCCTCTGGAAAGAGCTTTGGTATTGTGTATATGAAATATACAGAGCTTAGGGTTAAACCCTTAAGTGGGGAAGTGTCATAAGATTTTGTGAAGTATGTATTGTTGTTGATATTAAGATAATACATAAAAGCTCAATATTATCAGGGCTTCAGTGTGCTAGATGTTTAAAAAAAAAAAAAAAACCCAACATTTTATCACTCTGAGCCATACCCCTCCCATGAGGTCATGATTTGATTTTGTAAATAGATGGCAGGCTATGGACTATTGCTTATGTCACTCTGTGTTACGTGCCTTTCAAAACATTGTTAATGGCCTTCAGTATATTTAAAATATCTTCACTTATAATAATGAAAACTAAATTTTTGACCACTTGGCCTAAAATTAAAATGTTATGTGAAATTTTATCAGGTAGTATATTGTAAGAATAAACTGCCTGTAAATGATTTTCAGCTATACAACTCTTTCAAGAAGAGGGGGGGGAAAAGAATCCTAAAAATTCTTGGGTAAATAGGAGACAATTTAATATTTGGATAGACCAGTCTGAATGCTGTACACTATTCATTTAAAACAAGTGCCACTAGCATACCAGCCTGTTATATGCCAGTCATTCATACAAAATTCCAATGGAGGCAAAGAAATTTTTTCACTCAGTTAAAGAGTTTTGCCATTGACTCACGTGGGGCCAAGATTTCCTGTGAAGACATGCATTTGATATGGTCAATGTAGTTTAGTGTTGCTTATTTCCCCATAAGCACCTCCAGAGTAGAAATAGGTTGGCTTCACAGCAAAGAATGGGAGGACAGTACATCAGTATTGAGTTCTGTCCTTAGATATGATATAGAATGCCAAGGGCACCTAACGTGACAATCTCTCTGCCCAGGCAGAAGGGGTGGGTGCACATGGGCTGTCAGTATCAAGGAAGAGCAATTTCCATCCTCCGCAATAAAGTCATTAACACTTTTAGTTGTGTCATGACATTGCAATCTGTGGGGTGAGAGGACTACAGTGTGGAATGTGATGCTGTATGCTCTTCCTAAACAGGGCAAAGTATAAAAGCAAATCTCGAAGAGTGAATTTCATTTTACGTAAATAGCAGATGCTCTCTGAAGTTTTTCTGTAATCTGTATGTGAGAATGAAGAAAGTTCAAGATGTTAAGCAATTGCATTAGCTTCGAAGGTTACGGTCCCCAATATCATTTCAGCCTCCCAAAAAACTCTTAACTTGCCTCATACAATCAGTGGAACTAGTCAGAAACCACATAAAAACCACAAACTTTTCTTTATTTAGTTTTTTTTTAACTGCAACATATTTAGCTGCTTTTGATGCAGTCCTGCTCTTCAATTGAATTTGAAATTTGGTCATGTCAAAAATTTTCACAACTCTTGGTTTATCTACATAGTTGTTAACCAGAATTACATTGTAACACACAAACATGGTTGTCTTATGTCTTTAAGGCACAACACATCATTTATGCATGTTCCATTTGCCAAACTTATAAAAGAGACAATTGTATAACCCTTCCCTACAACCCCCCCCAAAAAGAAAAATTGCATCCACTTCCAAAAATCAGCTGCTAATAAAGTCACAGTAAATTATTTTCATCAATAATTTACACAAATTAGAGGTCTAGACAAGATTGTCATTATACAGTCTGAGTGCATTCCAATTCAGATTTTCTGGGTTAGGTAGGCTAAAGTCTGGTTCAAACCTCAGTGCTGAGAGTATATCCCATATTGAGGAATGTTGTCGACCACCACCTTGTCGGTCAGAAAACGCATGTTCGTGCTTTGTCAGCGTGAGTTCTTTATTCACTCCCGTTAGGGCTCATTTGGTGTGTACCAGCAACTTTCATAGTTTTTATTCATTTAAAACGTTGCATATATAAGACCATAGAGCTTCCTTATGTAGCGCTAACATTTTTAACTCGATTCAGCAATCTGAATTCTTCATTTTGGAATTTTCATTCCAAATATTTCTTCCCTTCTTAAGACAATTCATATGTGTTAAGCCAGAGGCATCGAATCACACATAAAAATTCAGTGTACTTGAAATATAAAAAGGCTCGCCAACTATAGAACACAGTTACAAATACTCTAGTTCCAGTGCTTGATGTAGAGCCAAGAGGTCCGAATGACTTGATATCCTCCAGAAAGGCATGTTGTGCTGCATGTGTCAGGAGAGGAGAAGTGAGGGAAAAATGAACACATTATATACATCAGAAGGCACACAACATATGAATACCGTTAAACTCACAATATATTTTGTGTGGCCTGATGTTTGTTAGTGAAAGTCTGACAATCAGACCAAAAATAGATGTGCGCTTTCTTCTTAGAACTAGGAAGAAATAATCAGACAGTCTGTTTCACAATTTGCACTGGAAATAGCCCAAAACTCAATGAATGCAGTTCACTCACTTGCTACTATGGAGTTTAATAGTAATGGAATAAGAAATCACTATTTATTTGTACTAATTTATTACCATTTAAGAAAGTTCAAGTCCCATTTTTAAAAGAAAGCCCCATATGTAAGAGACAAGTATATTTTGGGGGGAGGGAGAGTCTAGCTGTGGAAAAACTCTTCTGGAGAGAAACTTTCAAAACACTAGGTTAAATAAAGATGCTACAGGAAGCATCTATGTCGGTAGATGCAGTATAATGATTTACAGATTTACCCATGCCAAATCACTCCTTGAAGGATGCTACTGCTGGATATTCTAGCTAAATAGATCCCTGGAGCTAGGTAAGAACTTACTTTTGCTAAGTTCAGATCGATTTATTAACTGGTATGTTCAGCTGTTCCTCCGAAAACCATATCTAGTCATGCAAGTACAGCTACAGTTAGAAACATGCCAACTGCCCAAACCAACCACCTGTGTTCAGCACAGGCTATAAGAGACCCATCACCAGTACTACACCTCTATAAGCAACCATTTGGAATGAACATTTTGATTCTGCTTTATTATAGCTTAAAATAACACATAGCACCCATCAAAATATTAGAAAGATTTAAGTTTTGCTACCCTTAATGCTAATTCATGGTTTTTCTGGTTACAACTCAGGAGGCAAAGAGCACGATGTTTAGAGGATAGCTTTCCCACATTAATAGGTGTTACGGTGGAATGCAAAATGTGTTGACATCCGAAAGATTCCCAACTTGTTGTTTTCTCAGATATTGACTATTTAAATTGCTTATGTCACACTTCTTGTCTTTGAAAAACTGTGCGCTGCAAACATTTTTACTTATACAGGTTGAAGAAACTGTTTCTATTTCTGTGTTCTCCTTTTGCAGAAATGTTTCTTGAAACTAGCTCTTTTAAAATCAATAATTTCCCTCTTAGAATATTCTAACTTTTTTTCTTCATAGTGGTAGAACTTTGGCATAGATATTTTGGTGGTTTTCTGCATTCTTGCCAATAGTGCTCATTCTCATTTCCACATGTGTTGTTTTAACCAAAACCCCTCTTACTTTATTACTACTTTATTACTTCTGTTGTATCATCTTGTTATGTTTCTTTTGCCTTTTCCCCTCCAACAATCATTTAAGGTTTTATTGGGGAGGAGGCAGGGGTACATTTCTTACTCAGATTGTCATAAAACAAATGCTAGAATCCAAATAGCTTATTTTAATTCAAGTGTAGATCTTATCGTGCTCTTGGTGCCTCTGTGTATTGAACTTATTTGCCAATCTGCAACATTAGCAGCAATGAAACAGAAAGGCTTTCATTAGTATCTGTGTATCACACCAACATTTCATAAGACAGGTTACCTTTTTTGCTGCCTGTTCTTCTTCTACACCATCCCCAATTACAACATATACTACTTTTCTGCCAAACCTTTGCATTATTCGTTCAAAGCAACTTTCTTTTCCTGGAAGATAAATGAGATAAAAGTTCAGAGTGAAGTTACCTGATTAGCTGCATGCTCCTCATCGCGTCCATCTCCAATCACAACATAAGTTATGTTAGTGCCAAATCTGGACACTATACGCTCAAAACAGCTTTCTTTGCCTGAAAAACAATGCACTACTTATTCAAGCCATCATGTGAGTTATCCTGAAGCTTTACAAAGGGTTAAGTGAATTTTATTAAAAAGTGTGCATTTTTGGCTTGTTTCATAGATACAATGAGCAAAAAGGCAGTTGAATTCCTTTGGTCAGACTAAGCAGATTTAGTTGATTATTAGATCACATACCTAACCTTAGGTAGAGGTTTTGGCTGTAACAGAAGGATGTTATTACCACCATTGTAAAACATAAAATGTCAATAGTTCCAGATTATTTTAAACCCTTCTTCTCCCTCCCCTAAGGGACAGTACCAGTCATTTAAAATGTATTTACTGCAGGGCGAAGAGCTGTTGTGATGGGAAGATGAGCCCTGAATGCTAGAGAGAAAAATAAAAGGAAGTAGAAGGTTGCAGAGAAGGTATCCCTGAAATGTGCCATTTTGCAGAAGTGGATTCAGCAGGCTCAGCGAATGACAAGAAGGGTTATGATTAGGAAAATATGGTGTTAGAACTGCTGAACTAAAAGGACCAGATTAGAGAGAGAGCTAAGAGCCAGCTCTTTTAAACGTCTTTAGCAGCACAGCCCACCTGAAAGGATGCAGTGAGAGGGGAGTACTGTTCATTGTATCCTTAGAAGGGATGTAGCAATGGGCACAGTTCTCCTACATGCCAGTCAACAATTCTCTTTCTGTGCCAGATTTTGCCCATAGATTCTGCACAGATGGTGCTACTCCGCTTCAAATCTTAGTGTGGCCTAAATACTATTGTTGTCTGACTGCAATTTGCACACTAGTGTACAATGTGCAGGTTGCCATAAGTATGATATTGGTTTACTGTAAGTTAGGCTATTTGATATGCTGAATTCTTTGAGAGTTTTAAATGATTTGGTGCATCTTCTTCCTATGGAATGATGTAGCTAATTAAGTTATCAAAATATCCATTTTTCTCTGTTGCTGAAAGGCACATCTAAAAACAATCATAGTCATGACACTTTGCCAGTGAAGTCCTATCAATTCTATTTCATCTTATTTAAGCATCTGGAATAGATGAATTGTCAGATATGAACTCTTCCAAATTTATTAGCTGTTTAAAAGTCTCTAAAATGGTGATTTCCCTTAATTGACAACTATGACAGCTATGATTCTCAATGTTCAGATGCAAGTTTTTCTGAAGGAAATTCTCCCTAGATTTTTCAAAAGAAATTTGGTGGTTCTATGACTTAAATATGAGAATCATTTAAGAACTTTTAATACATGCTTTCATTAGTTGGAAACCTTCATTCTTTCCCCATATTCTATATTCGCAGGCCATGCATTGGAGTTAGCATTTTCAAAGGAGTCTTAGAGGTGCCTTTAAAAATCCAAACCTAAATTTTATTTTGTAGATTATAATCTTCAAGATTATAATTTGTCACTATATATAATAAATAACTTCTTGTAAGTCATTTAACAGACCCGAATAGTATTGGATGACTGAAATTGGTGTGTATGAAATGAAGATCTTTGTTTAGAATACAAATTAGCTGGGTCTTTCAATATTGGTGAGATGTCTGTAAAAATGCAGGCTCCTAGATATACATTATGTAGTTCCAGTGCATTTTAATATCTAAGACTGAATTCAGTTTGAAGAAAGTTAGAGGGAAGACCTGCCTAGAGCACCCCTTTGTGGCATGCCATGGCATGATAGACATTCCTGCCTCACTTTTGCCTTCCAAAGTCCCAAGTAACTACTCTTCAGATTGTCGTCTTATAATATCCTTTTTGCGGCTGGTTTATTAGAAAACCTCAAATTGGATTTCTGTTTTGCACATTTTCCACTTCTTCCCCAAATCCAACCAGTTATGAAAACAAGATATCTTGTCATTTGATGAAACACATACATACTGGCTTTTTCAATTTCCCCAGTTGATTAATCACCCTGGTTTTTGTACCAGGACAGCCACCACAGCTCTTCCAACTGAAGTATAATCTTGCTCTTCCCAATGGGAACTCCTTAGTGTAGCCTCTTCTCTGGCCTTTTCACAGTTCCTCTGTGTCCAGCCTATCAGCACTAGAGATGTCAACATGTAAGCCGTTTGGTTGCCCCATTTGTTCAGCTCCATCTGGTCAACAGCTCTGGCTCTGTACCAGCAGGCACCTTCCTCTGCTGCTAATCCTTCCTTCGCAGCCTTCTCCTGACCCTGGCTATATATTGCTTTGGGGAAGTCAGCCAACACAAACCCCTCTATGCACTCTTCTGGCCTTCAACTGTCCCTCAGAAAACATCATCTGCTTCTTTCTAGGTCATTCCATAGTCCCTGGGCAGTTCTCATTTGTCCCCATTTCCCACACAGGCAGCTCTGACCCATCAGTCTTTTTCTTTTCTGCTCTACAGCCCCCAGCCCTCTTAACTGTCCAAACTAGAGGCATGCAGATAAAGTGCAGGTGTATTTGCCCTGCTTCCCCTGAAGGCCAGTGTCACTGTGTGACAGTTATATATTTAGATTATACATATTCTATATATAAATAGTGGGATTAGAAGTACTCCTAACAAACAGATGTTGACATTTCTTAACAGTATTTAAACAGGCATGAGGCAGTGCACAACTTATTTTCTGCCGAACATTCATACTATCAGAGAAATAGCTCTGAATCCATTAATAAAAGGAGGAAAAAACACATGATGAAGCAAATACAATCTTTGAAGACTAAAGAATAATTTTCTTACCTATTTTGGTTGCACTGTAAATATTTTCAATAGGAAAAGCACCTCCTAAACTGTACAGCAGGACTTTTGCAAGTGCTGGGATAAGTTGGGTGGTTGTTACCAAAACGTTTACACAGTTACTCCTGAAGGGAGAGAAATAGTTCTTGAATCTGCATAATGGTACATCATTGCAAAAATTGCACAGTTAATATTTTGCTAAATAAAACTGGCCACTGAGGATGGCAGTCAGGATTTCCTGACGTCAACTGTTAATCCAAAGGCATTACTATTACTTAAACAGCACTGAGAATAGTTATACTATAAATCTTTCTTGGCAAAAATCTTTCCTTTGTCAAAGGTGTTTCTGTTCTGGGCAAGTGTGCAGGCCTGCAGCGCTGTCAAAACTGGCTCCCTTTAAGATGTGCCCAAATAGATGCTCAAAAATGGAAACTCCCACAATCACTAGTTGCTTTCAAAAATTTAGGTTCCAATGTTTCCAAAACATTCTCAGACTGACAATTATCGGTGACTTACAAACAATCAGAGTTAATAGGGGGAAAATGCTTTGCTGTACCTGTCTTACAGGAAGGACTGGGATAACATAGAAATTCATATTTTTTCACCCAAGAATCATAAATTAATAGTGGCCTCAAAATGGAACATCACATTCTTGGTATGTCAAGACTGAAAAGAGCAATCTTTACAAAAGGGAGGAGGAGAAAAACTAATCAGTGATGAAACTCTGAAGTTTTAAATGTCATGGCAGTGAATATACTACCAGAATCAGAACACTACAGGCAGTCCCCAGGTTACGTACAAGATAGGGACTGTAGGTTTGTTCTAAAGTTGAATCTGTATGTAAGTCGGAACTGGTGTCCAGATTCAGCCGCTGCTGAAACTGACCAGCAGCTGACTACAGGAAGCCCGAGGCAAAGTTGCTCTGTCCCGGGCTTCCTGGAATCAGCCGCTGGTCAGTTTCAGCAGCAGCTGACTTGGGGACGCCTGGGGTTCTT